TAACCCCTGTCACAATGAGTCCCAAATAGCCAGCACTTGATTAATACTGAAAGCTTTCTTAGTTTTTGTCCCCAATCCCAACTTAGAAACCCAGAGAAAGCCAAACATGCGCCCCTAACCACTCACACAGGATGCCCGCTCCTGGTGAGCCGCCACCAGCTCCCCCAGGCCCACAGGGCACCCCTGCAGTCAGGACATCCCTGCAGTCAGGACACCCCTGCAGTCAGGGCACCCCTGCAGTCCGGGCACCTCTGCAGTCAGGGCACCCCTGCAGTCCAGGCACCCCTGTAGTCAGGACACCCCTGCTGTCTGGGATCATCTTCCTTCTCCCTGAAGTACATCCATTAGGCAATCCATCAGGGAGGGATATTAGCGATACCATTTGTTTGAAAATGTCTCTATTCTTTTTTTTTTTTTTGAAAGATGACCAGTAAGGGGCTCTTAACCCTTGACTTGGTGTTGTCAGCACCACGCTCTCCTGAGTGAGCCAAACAGCCATCCCTTTATAGGATCCGAACCCGTGGCCTTGGTGTTATCAGCACCGCACTCTCCCGAGTGAGCCACGGGCCGGCCCTGAAAATGTCTCTATTCTTGAAAGAGGATTTTACAAATATATAGTTTTAGGTTGCAGTTATTTTCTTTGAGCACTTTGGAATTATCAGTACACCTTTCCTAGTTCTCATGGTTACTGCTGATAATTCTGCTTCAGTTTAATTGTTATTTTTTTGTAGGTAAATTTTTTTCTCTTCTGACCGTTTTAAAAATCTTTATTTTCTGTATCATGCAGTTCCCTTATGCCGTACGTAGGTGTGGATTTCTTTTTCTAATCATGTCATATCATGCATGGGATGTACTGTGCTCCTTGAGAGTGAAGGCTCATGCTTTGTATCAACTCTGGAAAATTATTAGCCATCATCTCTTCAGATATTACCTCTTCCTTGATGTCTCTACGATCTTCTTCAGAGAACTCCATTTGGGCTTAGATTAGACTTTTTCATTCTATTTTCTTTATCTCGATACTTTTCATATTTTCTATCTCTTTGTCTCTTTATCTGCCTTCTGTGTAATTTCTTAAATTCTATCTTTATATTAGTTATCTATTGCTGCATAACAAATGACTCCCCCCCCAAACATAGCATCTTAAGTCATCAAACATTTCTTATCTCACACTGTTTCTGAGGGTCATTAATTTGCGTGTGGCTTAGCTGGTTGGTTCTGGTTCATGGTCTCTCCTGAGAGTGTCACCACGGTGTTGGCTGGGGCTGCCTCATCTGAAAGCCTGACCAGGGCTTACTCATGTGGCTCCTGGCTGGAGGCTTCAGTTCTTCATCAAGTGAAACTTCCTGTAGGACTTCATGCGTGTTCTCACAGCAGGCAGCTGGCTTTCCCCAGGGCAAGCGATCCAGACGGCAAGCAAGCAGAATGCCACCGAGCCTTTTATGACCTAGTCTCCAAGTCATGGCCCATAACTTCTAGTCATTAAGTCTAGCCCACACTCCAAGCAGAGGATTAGGCACCACCTTTTATTTATTTATTTATTTATTTTAACAGATGACCAGTAAGGGGATCTTAACCCTTGGCTTGCTGTTATCAACACCACGCTCAGCCAGTGAGCTAACCGGCCATCCCTATATAGGATCCAAACCCGTGGCCTTGGTGTTATCAGCACCACATCCCAACTGAGTCATGGCCAGCCCTAGGCGCCACCTTTTAAAGGGAGTGTCAAAGAATTTGTGGACACATTTGAATCATCACAATATTCCATTTCATTTATTCTTTTTTCCAGCTCTGTCTAATCTGTTGTTTAATATACCCGTTGTTTCCAATTTCATATATTAAATCTAGGTTTTTTAGTTACTTAAGACTTACCTGGTCATTTTTATTATCCCTTGTTCTGTGATCAAGTTTTTGGACCCCCCCACCCCCTTTTTTTTTAAAGATGAAACATATCCATTGTGTATTCTGTATCTGATAACCCCCATCCTGTGTCTGGAGTCTGTGGATCTGATTCTGTTGTCTACTGTTGTCTTTTTTTTTTTTTTTCCTTTTTGTCTTTTTTCGTGACCGGCAACGGATCGCAACCNCTGTCTACTGTTTTCTTTTTTTTTCCTTTTTGTCTTTTTTCATGACCGGCAACGGATCGCAACCCTCAGTGTCGCGCCCGTACCGGACCGGGACCGGCAATGGGATCGCAACCCTCGGTGTTGTGCCCGCCCCTCACTCAGCCAGTGAGCGGGAACCGGTCTGTATGTGGGATCTGAACCCTCGGGGGGAGAGTCGCTGCGCTCCCAAGCAGCGCACTGTAGCAGTGCACCACCGGGCCGGCCCTGTCTACTGTTTTCGCTGTTACTCACTTATAAGGTCTTTTCTGTTATTTATTTTCTTTTAAAATTTACTGTGAGTAAATTTTGACTGGGATTTCGTATGTGGGAAACCCAGCAGGCCTGTTGTGAGGGTGTATTTCTTTCAGAGGGAACTGGCCTCCACTTCTGCCAGCATGCTGTGAGGTCCACTAACCTGGGAGACTAATTTCTTGGCTTGGGGACTTTGGACCACGATGGTGGAGTGACTTCAGACCTGAAGCCCATATATGATAATAGACCCTATGAACTCTCTAACCAGATCTAACAAGTGTTAACATTTTGACTATTATTTATTAAAGAGAAAAAAAGTAAGACTCTGCCTCCGTCTCCTCCTCTTCGTTCCCCAGAGGTAACCGCTATCCTAGAGTCGGTCTGTATAATTCTTATCCATATTTTACTACGGCTACATATTAAGGATTTATTTATAACATACACAGTATGGTTTGAACAGTGTTTTTAAGCATATACAGTGTTTTATTAACGTACAGTGTTTAAAATTTTTATACAACTTTCTTTTTTTATGCAACTTACAGAGATTAAAACTATTAACAGAGACTACTGAAGGCAGAGAGTGGGTGACAATCCAAGCGTGACAGAAGTGACACCAGAGGGACCATCACTGAGAAACTGGGAGTCCCTTAAAGTGCGGCCCAGAGAAAACAGGAGTTCAAGGCCAGCACGGAGGAGACTCGCATCCGAAGACGCCAGCCTTTCCCAGAGGGGACAGGCCATGTCCGGGCCGCGGGAGACCAGGTCGGGGACCGGCTCCGTTGACTCAGGGGCGGGAGGGGGTTGGCGTGGCCTTGCGGGACGGGGTGCGCCACCTGCCGGTCCCCAGGAGGAAGCGCCGCCTCGCGGTCGCGCGTTTCCATTCCCAGTGACAGGAAAAACGAGCGGCGCTGCGAGCCGCGTTGGGGGGACAGCAGACGCGACAGGAGGCCCCCGTCCCCGTTGACGACTTCCTCTCCGCTCACTCGATTCCCGTATAGTTGGCGAAGAAAAAAGCCGGCCTGACCCCGACGTGACTTGAACACGCAACCTTCTGATCTGGAGTCAGACGCGCTACCATTGCGCCACGAGGTCGCAGCGAGCGGGGACTCTGCGCCGCTAAAGGCTTCGCTCGGCCGCAGGCCCGCGGCTCGGAGCGCCCGGGACGCCCGCCCCCGGCCCGCGCCTGCGCCCAGATCGAGTCTCGCTCCCCCCGGACGCCCGCGGGGCACCTTTCGGGCCTGAGCTGCGGCGCTGCCGCGGGGACCGGGACACGCGCGGGCCGCGCCCTCAGCCCGGAAACGGCCTCAGAAACGAACACGTTCATTTTTTAACTATAGAAGCTAACGTGTGACGGAAAGTCAGGACAGTGTCGGGAGAAAATTGGAAAGATCGGAAATCCCGCCGTCCCGAGATGACCGCCACGTCTCCATGTGCCGCGCGTCCTCGGCTTCGGGGCTCCCGTGTGCGCGGGCACGTGGTGACCTTTCCACGGACGGACCGCGCTGCAGGAGGCCGAGTGCGGAGGCTCGTGTGTCCGGCGCCAGGGGTCCTGAAAGACGACCTTGGCCTCCCCCTCCCGGTCACCTCAAACTCATCCTTCAGGTGGGAGTATGTCGCACATGACATTCTGTACATCTTTTCACTTGTTACATTGCCCATATATTTGAGTTAATGCTTTTTACTAAGTGATTTTTTTTTTTTTTTTTTTTTAAGATGACCGGTCAGGGGACCTGAACCCTTGACTTGGTGTTGTCAGCACCACGCTCTCCCAGTGAGCTAACCGGCCATCCCTATATGGGATCCTAACCCCTGGCCTTGGTGTTATCAGCACCGCACTCTCCCCAGTGAGCCACGGGCCGGCCCTTTACTAAGTGATTTTAAGCAGCTCGTTTTCCACTTGGTGGGAATCTTAAATCCCTACTTTTGGACAGTACTTTTTTCTTCCTGCTAAATAAGAAAGATAAAACTATTAAATACATGAGTGAAAAAATCTCAAGCTTAAAAATTCATTAAATAAGAAAGGTAAAGCACTATTCTGGTCCGTTTAAGAACATGGAGCATCAATCTTAATTCAATAAATACTACACTCAGAGGGCCTGATGCCTTTTAGAAAAGGAAAGATCTGGAATGAGCCCCAGTCTTTGCAGAAAGAAAGGAGGAACCGTGTGTGGGGCTCCAGTGAAGCCTGCAGCGGGGAGGGGTGTCTGCTACCAGATGCCAGAGCTTCTGAGGGCTCCCCAGGCCACCGCTGGCGTGTCAAACAGGAAAGGAGTCTGGCAGTTCTTGTGTTTGTGCCCAGATGTGAGGAGTAGGAATTTGGGATTGACTGTGAGTCCTCAGGTGGCTGCCCCCAGGCTGTCAGAAAAGCGGGGACCAGAAGGCTCTATCTCTGTGCAGGGAGGGAATTGCTGGTTCCAACTGCAGGTGGCCAGAGATGTAAGTCACCTCCTTATTGCTTTTGATGACCCAGGGTGAATTAGACCCTGGTGGGGGGAAGGAATGGGGGAGCTGGGGAGAGGTGTGTTGGATTCAAGTTCAGGCTGGTCACGTTCAGACTCCCTTCTCCCCTTTGAAGCCCTCCATTCGCGGCCACACAGCGAAGTAACTGTGAGGGCCAGTGCCACCACAGCGCTGAGCGTCCGAAATCTACTGGAAGGAATGCCTCATATTCAAGGAGAGACCAGTGCTACTCTATTCTTAACCCCCTGTTCAGGTTTGGGGACACACCTGTGATGTCCTGGTCCCTTTTCTCCTGAGATGTAAACCAAAAACTACCTTTTGCTCTAGGATATGGGCATGCCAGTAAACTACAGGTATGGTGATGTGATCGAATGAAGGGATTAGAGCAGGTGACTCCTGCAGATGAGCAACTCCTGCAGAGTCCCTTTAAAGACTAGAATTGTGTGAGGAAGGGGTTAAAGTATAATACCTTCCACATTGAGAAGGTACTTTGAGACCAAAGAAGGAAGTGGGCAGGTCCATTCAGTAATCAGGTATTTATTAATGGGAGTGACTTACAAACAGTGTGGAATCGGATGCTCTAGCTCTCTAAGGTCAGACAATGTTTATATAGCAAAAGCCCGTTACTGAAAATAACTTCAAGGAAACATCTTAAGAAAATCAAGTTGATAACATTATTCACCAGGTGTCTTGTGATCCACGAGGCAAGGGGTCTTGTGATGTTAATACTCAGACCACTCACACCAGCTGCTGTAATAAATCGTTCACTCCCAGAAACCCATGTCCCTTTTAACAGCTTGTCCAAAGGGAGATGTATAACTGCTCAAGGAAACAGAGGAATGAGGTCAAGTAGGAGTCAACATGGTGGATGAGTCACAAAGTGACGTTACTTTTGTTCACCTTCTAAAAAGAATGCTACTTACTAGGGCAAGGACTAGGGGCAGTGAGGCAGGCCTACAGTTGTACTGGGTCGAATCTAGTCTTATTTAAAACTTTGATACCTTCTTCATCAGGGATTTTTGCAATCATTTTTATTTTTAGAAATATTGCATTATTTTCAATACATCCAGACTGCTGAGTTTTTTGGTGGCCCCTTGCATCCTATGCTGGGAGAGTGCTCACAGCTCACCCTCTTCCAGGCCCTGCGACCCGCTGCAGTTCTGCTGCTGCCCAGAAATGGTAAAGAACTGCTACCTTATTTTAAAACTCGTATATGGAAATACTAAACCATATATTTTTTTTTTCCTTTTTGTCTTTTTTCATGACCGGCAACGGATCGCAACCCTCAGTGTCGCGCCCGTACCGGACCGGGACCGGCAACGGTATCGCAACCCTCAGTGTTGCGTCCGCACCTCGCTCAGCCAGTGAGCGGCCGGTCTGTATGTGGGATCCGAACCCTCAGCAGGAGCGCCGCTGCGCTCCCAAGCGGCACACTGTAGCAGTACGCCACCAGGCCGGCCCCTAAACCATATTTTTAAAATTATTTTTATTTTCAATCGACACATAATAATTGTACATATTTATGGGGTACAATGTGTTTTGATACACATATACTAAAAATATGAGACCCTTCATGAATTTGCAAGTCATCCTTGGTCAAGGACCATTCTAATCTTTTCTGTATCACTCCAGTTTTAGTTGTGCTGCCAGAGAGCACTAAACCTTATGTTTTTTAAACTTCTGTAGAATATAGAAACTTTCAAAATTAAGAACAGTGTCCAATTAACAAATACAAAAAAAAGGATAATTACCAACATTGGCAAGGGTATGAGGAAGTTGATATTCTCATGCAAGACTGGAAAAGAACAGAAATTAGGACTCGCTTTTTGGATTGTAATGTGACGAATGTTTTTTAAGTGCTTTTGTCCAAGCATTTTCTCTTCTAGAGAATGTGTACTAAAGAAACGGTTAAAGATGAATGCAAAGATGTACCTTCCAAGATTTTCATCAAAACTGCATTTATAATAACAAAGCACTGGAGCCACCTTGAGTTCCACTGTACAAGTTCAGTCTAGACTGAACTACAACAAGGGAGTGATGCAGGGCGCTGATGTCAGTGAGCTCTTGCCCTTTTGAGTGAATGTCCGAGGCTACTGGAATGAAGGGGTGTGGAGGTGAGAAATCACAGGAGGAGGGCTGCAGGGATGACACGGAGAGGCTGCCCCATCATGGAGGAAAACACACAGTATGGCTTCTCAGTCTCTGCTTAGTTTAGTATCTTAGACCTGGGCAATTGCTGTATTTGTTAGCCAAAAATATTCCTTACTTGGCTCCTGTTTTCTAAAGGGCTGAAACTGTTCCAACTCCCCAAAGCCCATTGGAGATGTCCTCTGTCTTTCAGACTTACACATTCCTTAGGTGAAAAATTCCAAGCAGGAAGTGAACCCAAGGGCAAAGCGTGCTGCCACTGGAGTAGGTTGGGGAAACAGCCTCACGACTGCAGGCTGGGTTCTTCAGATCTACTGAGGCAGTGAGTGTGTCTGGGGAATAACACATGTGAGAGGAGATGGGGGCAGCCCATTAGGAGGGGGGCTGTCAGGCTGATGTACACCTGACCCAGTCTCTGCCAGCTGGTGGGGAGTTCTAAGAAAGAAATCCCATGTCCCATGACAATGGCTCCCTATGCCACCACCTTGCTCAGTCACAGGCCAGGGGGATGGTGACATTGACTTGAAAGCTGAGGTGGGCAAAGGCTGACAGCTGGAGGTTGTCCACTAGCTGCCCTCCTGTGGCTGGGTAGCAAGTTCTTCCTCGGAGGAGGATCTGAGGGCTGTGTCTGGGGTATGCCACAGCATGCAGTACACATTCCATTTCCCCCCACTTGTTTTTTATCCATCCCTACTGTCCTGCTTCAAGCACAAGTCTCAACTGTGAGTGAATCCAATCCATAGATGATTCCAGATTCTAGCAGCAAAGTCTCTGGATCGGCTTCTCCTGCTCTCCCCTTCCCTGCTAACCTCCTTCCTGACAGATATGCAACCTAAAGGAAAGAAAACTAATTTCTGTTTCACATTGTGCACTGTAATAGAAAATCCTTCTTCTAAGTCCCAAGAACAGCTTCAAAGGGAAAACACCATTGAAACTGATGGAACATTTTCAATTTTCTTGAGAAATACTGGGAGCTGGTGTGGCTTCCTTCAGAGCTTCAGTCAGAAGGCAGACCCCCCCTAAACTGCAACCTCTGGATTAACTGACAAAAAAATGCCACTCCGAAGTCTGTGATAAGGAGAGCAAAGTGTTGTCTGGCTGCTACGTAGAGGTAAAAAATGCAGATTTGGGAGTTTGTGAACTTTAGGCATTTAGATTTTTATGATGATATTGTTTGATGTCAGGTTTTTATTCTTTGTGTTGTGCCTCAAAACCCTTAATAGGAAAGAAACCCTCTCTGAAAATAGGAAAATCCAAAGGAATACAAGTGGAAACAATTGCTCCATCTTTCCCCTCTGTCCTTCCGCCTGCCACCTTTTTCTTTCTTTCTTTTTTGCAGCTGGTATTTTTGAAGACATGATTCAGGTTCGGATTAAACCTACGAAAAGTTGTCCAGGTCAGGGCCTGAATATCTTCCAGTGGTCTGTCTGATTAGGAGCCTGCCACATACGTTCAGTGGTCTGAAAAGACAGGAGAAGTTTTACATTGGAGAAATGGAATGCTGGGAGCAGAAAGTTCTACGTCTGTTGGGGTAACAGCTGTGGTTGCAGCTAGCAAGGGACAAGGGTCCCCTGTAGCCAGTCCCTATGTGACAATAAATGTGGCTTTTTTGCCCCGTGTGACAATTTTGGCTGAACTTGTCTCTGGAGATGTTTTTCATCCTAGAGATCCAGACCCAGTACTTTACTCAACCTGAAGGCCGTGCTTCCTAGGGTGCGCAGAATGCAGCTGATGGTGAGTGCGGGCTGCATGCAGAGAGAGGCCTCGATGGCAGACAGAGCTTTGAGATTCCATCCACAGCTAGATGGAAACGATGCAGTCTTTTTTTGGAACAAAAACAGCTGTCTTCCAAGCTGGTGTATGATTTTAACTGTAAAGGGGAGAGCCTTGTCCTTATTGTTATCAGAATTTAATTATGGACTCAAAATGTCTTCAGCAATATAGGTAAGAAAAGTCTTGCCAGAAAGTTCGCCAAAGTGATTGGTGTCAAGAAGACAGGGGCTTGAGTCTAGTCATTGCTACCTATTAGCTGTGTGATTTTGAACAGGTCACCCAACTTTTCTTTGCCAGTTTCCTCGACTCTAAAATGTGTAAAATATAGAAGTGATTGGTGTCAAGAAGACAGGGGCTTGAGTCTAGTCATTGCTACCTATTAGCTGTGTGACTTTGAACAGGTCACCCAACTTTTCTTTGCCAGTTTCCTCGACTCTAAAATGTGTAAAATAT